AAATCTTAATCTCTGAGCATTATTTTCTATTTAATCGAAGCATCTGTCGAGCCTTAATATCCGTAGCGACGGGATTAAGAACTTGTCAAATTAAGCGTAATTTGGAGCCTTTTTTTTTTGTTTTTTGTAGTTACCAGACGTTAGATTGTAGACAAGATTGTGTTCTATCCGTATAATACAGTCATCTTGTCAAAACCAACAACAACAACCACAATAACAACACACAATGAAGGAGCTGCGAGGGAGGGGGAGATACTCCACCCGGACTCATCCTTCAATAACTAATTGGTAGAAATCTTTAGATGCTCCAACTTCTGACAGCAACTTTGTCGTCGTGTTGTCCTTAATTACACTACATCTCAGACAATGACCAGAAGCGCGTCCGAGTGCTAGGCCTGCCACTTTGAAAAACTCCGGTCATCCGACACGACATTCCATCTTGTTTCCAACTCGGAATTCCAGTCTTTGGCATCGGAAAGAGAGAGAGAGAGAGGAGGAAAAAAATCCCCAATCTCTACTTTTCACGAACGTCCATACGGCCGGGCCGGGACTCGACTGCTCTCTTGTTAACACTACCATCCCCCCCTCGATCTGCACTACAATAGATTCCCCTAACAAGGTCTTGTTCCAGGCAAACAATATCGATCAACGGTGATCGATCAATTTCGACAGGTTGACGTGTCACAACACCGCCTCGGTCTAGGTTCTTCTGCCGAGGATGATTCTTTGTTCTGTATAACCCGTGTCATGATTTTCTCCAAGCTCTCTCCCTGTCTCTCTCTCTCTCTCTCTCTTCTATCAATCTCTAATCGTCCGCATCATCTCCGGCATCACTTAATATTTCCATCCTCATCTTCCTACTCCCGCTAAAACACGCGTGCAATACAACACGTGAAAAATCATCGACAACATCCCGAACAACAATCAGGAAACGTCCGAAACTGATAAGCCATCGGAGCACTTAGTGGGAAGATTGTTATGCAGAAAATATACGAAATAAAGTTACGTTCGCGAGAAAAAAGTCGAAAAATTACAAATTTAATTAGAAATTACGATATAATAAAGCGAAACAAGAGATAGAAGCGTTAGAAAAAGTACAACATACCTTAACTTTGTAGGTATACGGAAAAATTACGCGGAGCGCTCCATGCTCTAACACTCATCCTAGTTAAATTAAGGTTGTTACGCTCTAACAAGTGCTAAAAATAAAGGAAACAACACGTAATAAGATCCATTTTGATATTAAACTATCGAGGAGACGGGAACAATAGTAGTAACGAAGTTAAATCGACGACAACACGAAGAAAAATTAGAAACAATAGAAGGAAGAAGGAAGTTAAATGGGTAAATTCCATCCCGCTACAGTTTTAATCTTCTTTTCACCTAGAAAAGTTATAAATCTTTAAAATTCAAGCAAATAAAGGAGAATATAAGAAGAGGAAGCGTTTCGTTTTATAGTAGTAAAGTATGTTAGAGGAGCTAAATAAGGCACGATGCACGTGTAGGCGAATCTGGACACACGGGGGACGACTTCTATTGGCTGATATATAACCCACTTTCTACCTGTAAATCGAGAGGACGGAATATAATCTCCGGTTACGACACCTGCAGACAATAATCCCGCGACTCCCGGGCCAATTTTGGCCACGAACTGAAATATTCCCTTAGGAAGAGGACGTAGAACGCATCACCCCCCCCCGAACTGAAAAACTCTTCCATACTTATTCTATCGAATATCTCACCCGTGCCGACTACACTATAAATAACAATAAGTGGGGACAAGATGGTCCCTCGGGACTAGCTGACCATTGTCACGTTCTCCTGCAAACCGTGTCCCTGTCACATATTAGATATACGACTTTAACTGTAGATTTTAAATTGATATTTACTGCCGCATTTTACACTTTTATTCCGTTTTTGCTTCGTGATCGGACAGATGTTGTGGTATCGTTGGTAAAATATTTATCTTTTAACCCGTCCCGCATCCTTCCACGCTCACCTGCTATAATCTACTTTGTTAATACTTTTAAAATCCCCATTCTTTGTAGGTGTTACCATAACACCTGTAACATAAGCGGGGTTAACCTCTTCTCTCACTTTCCGACTTTCTCCTCCATCTCGGGTCCTTTAATCTTAACACTTTAACTCAAAAATCTAACCTTTCTCCGCTCGATACGTCACACTAGAACGTCCCAATCGGTTGCACTAAAGTGATGTTAACGTGGTTCTCCTTCCGCTCCCGTTCTGATTTACGTCATCATAACGTATTGTAACCCGTGTTGGGGTTAGCGATGACGTAAATAAAGTCAAGAGGTGTTGCAGGACAGAGTTTATGATCCAAGAATTGATCCGGATATGACCTATCTTTAACCATTTCATCTTCTAATCGCGGATTTATACTTGTATAAGTACGTATATTCACGAGAAATTTGTATGAAAATCAACATAGAAGCGGCCTAAATTGTCTGTAGTCGATATCTGTTATACGAGAATAATTTAAGTTAGTATTTATCCTTCTGTTATCCAGAGATAAGATAAAACTTAATCTTATTCATTTACTAACGTTGTAAAGTTAAATCGAAATATCAATTGGGATTTTATAGGAAAGATGACGGATGAACGATTGAGGCGAGACTCTCTTAAATGATTTCGTTGAAAATACAACTGCACTATTTAAAAATCTGAATATTAAACCAATTTAATCCGTTATTACATTAAGATTAACCAAAAATTAGTCTTGTTTTTCATCAATTTAATATTTACAAAACTAATTATCTAAAGATGATAACCTTAAATGACGAACGGACGGATATACGATGACGGAAACGCTTTTTAAAACAATTATTTTCTCATTTGATACGGGAAAGCAACAATGCATCATCGTTCGCAAGAAAACAAATTTAGTCCGTCACTTTACACAAAGGCTGATTGGAAAATTATCTAATTTTGATCCGGAAGTTGAAGAATTTTTAAGTTCAGATTTCTTAAAATGAATCATTCCTGGCATGAATATATTTATGCCATTTATGAGGCTTTCAATACGATATTTCGAATAACTTAGAAACTCTTAATTTCTTAGATTAAAGCTAAAATAACGGACGTACGGACGGGAGAGCGGGTGACAACGGCGTTACTTTCTAAAACAATTTTAGAAAGGCGCATTAATCCGTTAATTGTTCTTTTACAAAAAGCGTTTACTTGACTTAATTATCTCCATCTGCGAGTTGAATTAATTATAAATTTAGATTGTGTTTTCTCTTTTTCTTATTCTAAATGACTTTTGCCAAAATTCTACTTGGAAGAAATTCGACAAAACCGATAAAACAATCCCCCAACTAAACAATTAAACACACTGTATGTAACAACCGACATCTAAACATCTTCTTTAATAAACACGTGATTTAATTAATTCAAATTTTCTGCGTTACTCTCTTTCTTCTTTGTCCACTTGCTAGCGTAACGTTTAACTTTATGAATTTCTTAGTCGTGTTACGATTCCTGTACTGATCTAGCGATGCATATTCATTACAATTAATGCGTAAAACAAAAATTTGTTAGGGTTTATATGAGGAGTAACGTCTTGTAAAGTGGTTTTGGATAATGAACAGGATGATGCTACATCTGGGATTAAGTAGAATTAAGCTTATGGATCGTTATCCTTCTTACTTTCTTATGTTTAACGCGTCACCAGAGAAATTTTTATGTATTTTTAAAGGTTAATGTTAGAAATAATTGTAACTTGGTGCGATTTATCCACTTCTGATTCGAAGTTTGAAATTTAAAACAATGGCTATCTTATTTTCTCTATATTTCTCCGCTTCTCAATTTGATATTTAATAACTATAAGACTTATATTTTTAATTTTTATTTAAATTTTAAAGAGATAAACCAAAAGTAAAGCGTAAGTTCAGCATCTTATCGACGATAACGGCGGATATTCACTTGAATTCCGTAAGAGAAACAAACTAATTGAACAATAATAACTTATAATTCCGTACTTAAGAACTTAATTAATTTTAAAAATTAATCTAGTAATTGCTTCACCAACGTTTTAACTATGAATTTATATGCAGAATCTAAAATATATTTTTTTAATCTCTGGACGATTCCGCACAGAAATAAAACAGTTTCCCTCCGCATCCAAGAAGAAGAAGCGAATTTGTCGACTGAATTATTTAATAAATTGTATAAATATTTTAATGTATCAAAAAGAGTAACATCTTAAGAAATTTGATTAACCTCCTTTCACATTTAACTACATCTTCTAACTGCAAATGTTTATTAATTATTAAGATAATTTAAAAGAAAAATCGATTTATCTTCCGCTTTATTCTATAATTTAAGCGGGAGAAGTTGTTTTATAAATATGTTTCTTGATATAATTCAGTTCTCATCCCGTTTTCTGGCTCTTTTCTGTATTTAAGCCTAGGTTAGGATACGTGGAGAGAAGAGGAAGAGATCAAAAATGGAGTGAATTGGAAGAAGGATGATCTTTTTATCCGCTTGTTTTATTCAAATATAATCAATCTGTCAACCACTTAATGATAATGCGAGGTCAGAAGTAAAAGAAGTGAAGTGAAGGCGGTTGTCTGCAGGCTATAATTCCGAGAAACGTCTTACAGAAAAACACAATCAACTACTTAATGACGTGCAAACATCGAAGGGATCAGTCCAAAGACAATAATGGNTATCGTGTTATACATCCAAGAGAGTGGGAGATGGTATTTACTTTATGAGTTATCGTAAAATTCGTTTCTATCAAACAACGAGCGAAGAAGAAAGATTTTTGAAATTTTTTCAAAAAGATTGAAATGGAAATAATTAGAATTAAAAGTCGAATTTAATTAAACGGTAGGAAAGTTTCCATGGGAGGGAAATTCCTGTGTGATATCCGTGACGTCATGGCTGGGGATTTACACTTTTAGTTCAGTGACCGCTAAAGGCGGAAGTATTTAACAATTGTCCGAAAGTCGCAAGGGTGGACCCGGGGAGACAAACTGCAGACGGACCTCTCTCCCCCGTTCCCTTCCCTCTTCACTGATACGTCACAGAAGATGCGTAGAAACGTGACTGCGCACCCACCCATTAGCATAATCCACCGCCTGTTACCTAGGTTACCAGCTTCTTCAACAGCCATTTGCGACATCGCAGCGGTACGATCAGCAACGGATGTGCTCACAGAATACTCCAAGCGGATCTTCATATGAAGCGGCTTTCAACAATGTTTGTGACAAACCACTTAACGTCAGATCGCCAGTCCTCCTAGTGTAAGTTTAACATGTCCCTATCGACTAGATTGGAAGAAGCATCGACTAAAACCCACCCCGATCAACGTTACCGTATACAAAAGTAAAGGTAAGTGATGCTATTTCAACTCCATACATGTTGTTCTTCATCGATCGTATTTGTCAGGAAGCCGTCGCCATCTTTGAAAATCCCTCAACATCATTTGTAAAGTTGTTACGCTTTGCAAATGTCGTTGATTCCTCCCCAACGTATCGGATAGAAAGCAGAAGTAGATGGTGGAAAAATTTAACGTACTCGGACATCGGGGGTATATTTTAAAATCGTACTTTTCGCACGGGTTAATAACGGATTCATTAGGATGTAGGAGTGGTGGAGGCAGTTGTAAAATTGGTACGAAAACTCCGTGGCAAGAGTAGAGAATGATATAAATAAAGGGGGTCATAACGGCGGGTGGGGAACGTTCAATGACGACCAAGCTGCATCCATCGATCTAATTCTCGAAAACCTGCGTCACCCACTGCAGACAGCATCATCTGCGCATGCTCGGTCTACAAATGCGGCAACCATATTAGTGACGGACAGATGAAAGCCCGTGTCCTTTCTCTTCTACTGTCGGTATGGACCAGATGGTAGCCAGGTACGGGATCACACATACACACTCACAGCTAAAACCCACCTTGAGACAGTTTGGGCCAAGGATACTTTGACCCCGGACGTGTCATCATCCGTGACCCTTCGACTGTTAAAGGTAAGCTGGCTTCTTTTCTCTAACAATTAAATCCTTTCTTCAATATTCTTCCCATTCTTTTATCAGTTTTTAAACCTTATTCGTGATATTTCTGACATTCTTTAGTGATGCATTCTACATCCGAGTGAAAGTTTTCACTGCTTTCTCCTCTTTCCACATTTATCTTTTCTTTCATTTTATATTTTTCGAATTTCATTTTAATCGTTTTCATTTCTTGAAAATTCCACTTTATTCGTAAATTTCCTTTATTAATTATCGTCGCTATTCTTATTCTGTGCTGAAGATTTTGCATGTTCAATATGGCGGTCACTCTCCACGTCGCTTTAGGAGCTGCGTCGTATCTAAATAGGGCATACGGATGCTAATACATAAATTTATTTGCTCTGTGCTTCTTCCAAAATGTCTAGTCCAATATTTTCTACATCTGTTTTTTATTAAATAATTTAATTATTACTAAACGAAGCTTTAATAATTCTACGCCATCTAAATAGCTAATTAAGGATACCAAATTTATTATAAACGGAATTTTTGTTATGGACAAATCTATTGCGTGCATTAATGGAAATTACATTCCCGCGGCTTAATGTTTGGTGCGTAACTTCTTTAAAAATTGATCATTTGTTTTAATTTCGTTCGAAGAATAAAAATTCCTCTCATTTCGGATAATTTAAAAAATCTAATTTCTGCACAAAAAATTAATTTAATTTAATTCGTTAAATTTAATTAATTCGTTCAATTCCTTCCCGGAAAATTACATATCGAATTCTTTAAGTCTTTATACATAACGAAAAAAAATCTACGGATAAAAGAATTTTTCATAATTAAAGCTGAAAATGTCCTTTTTATAATTAAGTAGTAAAACTTCGAAAATTTTTTACGAATTTTTAATAAAATTGATAAATATGCCGACGTCTTATTAAAGTTACCGCTGTAACAATTCAAGCGCGAAGGAGGGCGTATACGAAAGAATTAAGGCGGAGTCGAGAGAAAGACGCTATGCGATTGGTTACTTTCACGTTTTAGTTAAGGTGACGTTCTTGAGATGAATAATAAATGAGCTAATTTTTATTATTTTTATTACAATTCGTTAAAGGAACGAATATTTAAAGAATTCGGGCAACAAATCGAAATTATGAATTGGAAAATAATTATGAAATCGATTACGTCATAAACCTATGCTAAATATTATCTATAATTATCTAGGCCGTTATCTAGGCGTCGTAGTGGATGGTGTCATGGAAGACGATCCCCAATCTCATTCTCTGGGGAATGCGCTGTCAGGAAATGAACTAGGTTAGAGAATGACTCACTGAATATGTTAACTCAATAAATTGTTGAGGTTGTTAAATGTAGAGAATTATTAAAGATAAAACTAAACTGGCCAAGTTAATAGGGAGGGAGGGAATTTGTGTAAAATGCCAAGAATTCGAATGTTTCACAGATATGCAACAAGTAATTAAAATTGCATTGTTGTTCGCCTCTAATTAAGACAATTCATAATTGAAATATTTGCGGAATTCTCTACAAAGTTATGACGATTACCAAAATAAATTTAATTTTGTTTTGTTTTGTTTAACAAATTAAAATTCGTTTTAAATACGCTTTCGAATGAGAGAAACTATTAAAAATATCCCGACTCAATCCATCTGATGATAACTTAGTATTTGGCATAGTTACTGAATTATTCTCTGCTCTTAAATTTATGAATATCTTTAAAGATTTGAATTCTTTTTCTTCTTCTTAAAAGAAGAAAAAATGAAAGAGCCTAAAAAGAGAAATTCAATTTTTTTTTTTTGCATCAGCCCATGTTGCCATAGCAACAGAAATGAAAAGTCTTCTCAGTAATCCGCATTGACTTTACAACTAAATTGGAAGGGAGTTTGCTACTTCTTATGTATTTGTTATTAAATTGTTTAAAAATATTATGTTTATATAAAGTTTATAACAATCTTTAAACGTAACGCTATTACAGTTTTTACATTTTTTTTTAATGCTAAACATTTAAATAGGTTTATAATTAATCTATCAACTGGTGATATCAGATCATTTACATATTAATAAGCTTACTATGGCTGTTTGAATAGTAGTTCTAATCGTGAATGGATCTCTAAAGAGAATTCTTAACGAATCACGTAACCCGTTACTAAATTTTTGCATATATTTTACCAAGTTTAAAGCATTTAAAGAGTATAAAATTAATAAATTAATTTGTAATACTTTGTTCGCTGCTACATTAATGTACTAACTGCATTTAGTAGATGAACTTTGTGCAGTTCGTTCTGATGTTGAAACAAGAATATTATGAAACTATTAACGAAACCCGTAATTAAAGTTACCTTTATAGATTTTTTTTTCAAATTTTATAAGATTTAAGCAATTTAATAATTAATTTATTATCAAATTAGTCATGCTGTTTATACGAAAACAGTACTTAACACAATATGAAAATTTTACTCTACGTCAATAAGAATAGCGTTGTACTGTACTAATGGGCTGTAACACTATTAAAATTATACACATCTAAATTTAATATTTAAATATTCTAATAATTAAATTATCATTGAGCAGAGTGAGATCTTTTATACTTTATTATATATTTCATCTATTAGATGTCAAGAAATTAGATCTCGCTTGAAGAAGGGATAACAATACGGCAACAAAACTTTGTAACGATATTAATTTTATACATTTTATTTAAATTATAAGCTTATAAAATTTAAATACTCTTGTAATTAATTTATCAATATCGAATTATTTATACTTAGCACATTTGTATTATCTAACTTATTAGCAGATTCTCATAGACATATTCGGTTGCGAATATTTATAATTTTTCATAATTTTAACATTTTATTAAGTTTATTTTTATAATGTTCCATAATGAATTAATCAAAAATAATATTAATCGTATTGTTTATATATATATTTATATATACTTACTATGTCATTCTTGAATGGCAGCTCTCACGTGGTGAGGAACAGCGAAGGGAGTTATTAACGATACCCGTGTGACGTCATTGGTTATTTTAAAGGGAAAAGATACGTCATTTCCAGCTTGTTTAATCTTTAAAACAAGAAAAAAAAAGTGTAGTGGAACTAAACGACTAGCGATAGCAGGGAGAGTGTTTGTGACTGCCAATATCGTAGCATTCCGACTTTATTCGCTTTGTTGATCTCCAGTCTTACTTCTCCACCCTCTACCAAACATGGTTGATTAGTTAAGCCTATCTAGTTGTGTGTAATTGGGCATAGATCGGCCCAATCAATTTTTCTACATCTACCCCCTCCAAATATTTTATTTATTAAGAATCACCAGACCATTATCGATACTAAAACAATATTTATGACTGAAGTATCGTGTTTGATCCGTCGTAAGAAGCCACCTGAATGTGTTTGCCGTGTATTATTATTACTTTTCCGTTTTGTAGATACATTGCTTCTCGACTTATCAATAGCCGGGATCACGTGATTTTTAAGTGGAGCAGACGGAAGTGACAACAGACGTTGGTTCGTCAGCCAAGAAGACAGACGACGTTACCGAAATTTATCGAGCCGAATAAAGGTAATTATTTTTTCTAATATTATTTAAAGCTGTAACGTTCGTTTTCGAATGTATATCGCGTGCTTTAACCGATTGTTAAATTAATTGTGACGTAGCAATTAAAAGTTAAAGCTTTGTTTAGAACAAATTGTAAATTTCCGACACCATATTAACTGTGACGTCATCTTCCTGTTAGAAGTCGAGTTTCCTTTAAAAATAATAGCAGAAAATTCGGGTCAAAGGTCTGCTTATCAGGATGTATAATAACCAATTGGGCCAAACTACGTTTGTCAACGTTTAAAATAATATTATTTATACGAATGATGTTGCAATTTTATGTAGTACGGAAGGAGCAGAATTTTTTTATGACAACTTCCACCATTAACTTCCTTTTTTCTGCTATTTAATCGGCGTATCCGGAGAATGTTTAGCTTTTATTTTATTTTAGAGGTCGATAAAATGTGGAAGTTAAACATTTAGAAACAAAAATTTGAAAAAAAAAATTAAATTATTAAAGATTTGCGAGAGCGCTTTAGAAATAAAGAGATAAATTAACACGAATTTAAACTACTGTTTAGTCACGGAGATGTTAAAAAAATAATAAAAGAAAAAAAAATTCTCAGAGGAACGTCTAGTTTGTTTGACGACAGGAGTGTCCTCAGTGACGTCATCCATTTTTGCTATCGAGTTACTCCGACATTAAAGCGATAGCCGGGTTTTTTAAACTTTGAATTTTCTAGTTAATAATCACCATATGTTGTCTTTCTGGTCGCGTAAGAAGAATTTTTGTAAGCTAGACATACATACAGACGTTCGATTCGTTTAAACCAATCCGATCGATCTCTAGCTAACGTGGTTAGACATTAATTAAGTTGTTAAACTGTTAGGACGAGTCTAACAATTGTAACTCGGTTGTAGCGTATGTAAAGAACAGAGTTACAGCCCGTAAAGGATAGAATCTGAGAAGGTCAACGTTCGAAGCAGAAACAACGGAAGTTATGTTGTTTAAACAAATCGAAAACATCCTCTTTAAGAAAAATTCAAAAATAAAACCTAAAAATAATATATATTTTTTTCTTATCTCGTCACGTACTAGTTTACGCTTCTTATTCTAATAAAAGTGTAGAAATATATCAATATAAATGCGCACCAGAGACGAAAAAAAACATGGAAAACGATCCTGGCCACTATAAAGGAAAATCTGCGAGTGGATAAAGCATAGAGAGCAACCAAAGCCAAGACCAGTTCTGGGGTCAGCGGGGAGGGAACAAGAAAACTATTTCTATTATATAACCCTGGACCCGACCATCTGCCCCGAACGAACAATGATGACTGAATGGAGCTAGAGCTTAGTTGTGTCTGTCCTACCTCCTTCCAGCTGCTAGACTGGCTGGCAACCCCATAGCAGTAAGCGTTTCCTACTTGCCCATTCATAAAAACCTCGTCTGAAACTTCCATACAGGTAAGTGAGTCCGACTTCTATTCTTAATTAATTGTTTATTAAGTTTACAAAGTGTTTACGTTCTCTTCTTTTTCGTCCGTAAACCTCTTCCTATTTATACATATATATATATATATTTAACCTATTTATATCTCGACACTTTATTTATTGTAAATCTAGTTTTAAGTAGAATTCTTTAAGTAAACAACACGCGTAGTTGATGTGTTAACATTTGCTTCGCCGATTTACCACAAAACCGGTTTTTTTTTTACGCACGAAACTTTGCCACTTTTCTACCAATTTGGTCTCCCTTCTTTATGTAAATGTATAAATAACGAATTAAGTTTGTATAACGTAATGAAATTTAGTTATTTTACACGCAAATTTGGCTTGGAAAGACGATAAAAAGCATCACTAGTTAGAAGTTGAAGCTTCGGATAGCGAGTTAAAACAGCCTGAAGGCTTTCTCCCTCTCCTAATTACCTTAATGATGTATGGTAGCTGACAACATAATTTTGTAGAAAGGACCTCATCCGGATGTTGGTAAATTTGTTATTAATTCGTGCTAATTTTCCAATTGGATAAATCTTTAAATTCTGTGACGTAGATTTCGATTTAATAGAATCTCTGACAGATTTACAACAAATTTATTACGACTCTCTACACACGTTTAACGACTTTACCAGATATTTAACAATAGTGGTAACTGTGTAACGTGTTTAAAATGTTCGTCTCGTTTCTACTCTCGTGACTTTATATTCGATTTGTCTTCCAAATTCGAAGCACGCGTTGTTAAATCCTTACACGACGACGTTCGTGGCACTTTAATACAAATAATCGTCACCCCCGCTCCACGGTAGATGTAACGTTACGTAACTAGAACGTCTCTAAATTAGTCTACGAAGGCGTTTAGTCGACTACTTCTATAGTAAACGCTTATTTAGATAGTGGTCCCCTCTCGTAAGATAGTGGGTCTACTGGAACTTAATAAGGGTAAATGTATATATACTTCTTGCTAATTACGTTACATTCTCTAGAAAATAATTAATCCGACTCTTATTTAATCTTCACTAAATTATTAACTGTCAATTGTTATTTCCTGCTTCGCTTTTCTGTGTCATTCGTGGGGAATGCCAACTTAAATTAGTTATTTTATTAAGATAAAAATACTTTTATAGTAGAAATTTATAGATTAAATATTTTCTACAATTTTTTTTCTTATATTTTTTTTATTATTCGTTTGGAGTTTTATATAAAATATTTATTAAAACTTTTATTTTTAATTAAAAAACAGTAAAAGTGACCCATTTTCGCAACGAGAACTACTACTAGGAAAGGAAAAAAAAATTAAATATTTAATAACAATCAAAGAATTTCTCTTGAATTTTTTTTTATTTTTAATTTAGAGGCGACTTAATGACAACTTTTGTTTATTTTTAATTATTAAAGCACGTCTCTACGTCTACAAGTATGATACTGACTCACTTTTATTACACAGAAGCAAAAGAATGAAAAGCATTTATAGAATTTTTCTAGAATTTGATTTTCCAATTTATAGATTTTAGCGTTATAAATGTACTTTTTATAAACTAGATCAACTGTTTTATTTATAATTTACTTTCATTAATTTATTATAACAACATATTAATATCGGAATAAAACATTTTCCCATTCTAATAACAAAAATATATTCTAGAATTATTATTTTTTTAGAATTTGACATTCGATCTTGTAAAATAAAATTAAAATTTTTTAAATATTTTTATCTGAAACTTTTTTAAAAAATATTTATAATTTTATAGAATTTTTTAAACATTTAATTAAATACAAAAAAACGGCTTCACAAATGCATGCTTTATAGCAGAAAAATCAGAAATTATTATTATTACTTTTTTTAAAAAGAAAAAAAAAAACAGAAAAAATACAGAAATTTTTGGAGTTTTAAAAAGTTTCGAAAATATTTTCCACATTTTAAAGTTTATTTTTGTTTTTTATTAAAAAGTAAAAACAAAGTTAACACGAGAAAAAGTGATTCAGTTTAGTAAACACTTCAGTCAGAAAATAATAGAACTTCCCTATAAATCTGATATTTAGAAACGGAATATAAAACTTCTAGAGTGTTTTCCTGTTTTTTTAAATTTTTTTTTATTTTTAGATTTTTAACTTCAAGACTATAGAAACGTTTATTAATTAAAAATAGATTCTTAAACACAAAAAAAAAAGTTGTAGAATTTTTCTAGAAATGCATTTCTTTTTAGAATTTACAAAAGAAAATAAGTAAAATTTCAATTATTTATTAATTGGAAGTGTTCAAAACTTATTTTAAACAATATGTATGATGATATTTCTTGTTTTATTTAGGAAGCAGGTCCATAAATACCTCTCATTTCTATAATAATATAGCATAAAAATGAAAAATTAGTTGTAGAATTTTTCTAGAAACAGATTTTACCAAAAAAAAAAAAAAAAAATGTGTAAATATTATTTACAGTTTATAATTTAAGATATTTATACATATTTTAATTAACCTGTAGGAATATTATTATATATATATTAATTAAAAAACTGATCCAAAACACGACTTTCATCAGCATCAAGACGAAATTGCGCTTGTTTTACAAAGAAAAAAAGATATATTTTTTTTTAAAAAAAAGATAAAAAGTAATGTTGATAGAAATTTTTCTATTTCGTCTACACTAAAATCATTTCCTATATATTTTTTTTTTTAAACACATTTTTCGCACATTATTTCTAAGGTTTATTACTTGGATTTCTTTTCTATTTTTACAGCTACATTCTAATGAGTTGCAGACTGCATAATTAAGAATAGTTTTTTTTTTTTTTTGATAGAGAAAAAAAATGTGCCGAATGTCGTTAGAGACAGATTAGTAACGGGGAGAAAGCTAAAAGGGGAAGCAATAATGAAGGTGAAAACTTCCACATAATGTTTGATAGCCATTAAGAGCTGCCACAATTCCAAGTTGTGTAATGAACATAGGAGATGACTTATTTCTAATCTGGATCTCGGATGCTATAAAATGATGGGGTTTGGCATCGTCCCATCTGCAAATTACAGGTAGTTTTCGTTTCTCATTATTCCGATAAAGACGTTGAAAATGTTAAAAATGATCAAAACGACTACCGATTTAATAACGCTCTATCGATGTTTCATCGACTTCTATAATTTGTTTTATGGGCTATTTACTTTAAATATGCCTGTTGATGGTTTTGTTTTACATAAAGAAGTGCGAAATCTGATGAAGTATGAAGTCGTCATATCCCTGAGCATTAAATTCCTTTAGAAGTAAGCTTAAAAGAGAAAGGGGGAGAGATTCTCAGTACAGTTTAGGTTTAAAATATTTTGAGAGATTTTGGCCATCTCATCAGTGTAATTAGCTCCATCCCTAATTGAATTAAAGTAAATTAATATAAAATCTGATAAAGTTAAATTTAGAACGTGAGAAACAATCGAATTGAATTTGTTTATTAAGAAGTTTCTCAAATTTTACGTGTAAATGAGTGCAAAGTCGTATACTTTCAACAATCTTTGAGACGTAGGAAGTAAATGACAGCTGAGGGTAAGACGCCCACTCGAGAAAGATACCAAATGTTAGGCTTTGACACACATTTTAGATGGGACAAACACACAACAGTAAGGAAATGTAATTCGAACAGATGTTAGGGGTATGCCCATGTTTTCGGCACGACGTCTCATCATCGGAGCAATTTGGTAAGAGAAACACGTCTTCCGAGATTTCCGAATATGTTTTAGATGAAGTTATGATTGAGTCGGGGATGGAGGAAACGTCTTTTTTGTTTTACGACTGGATTTATGACATTTTCTTTTCTATTTTATGACATTTGCCAAACATCCGACGTCTTATTAACGTACACTTCTTTCCGCTTCGATCTACCTCACCACGCATCGCGCCATGCATAAATTATGAATTTACACATAAATTATTTGTCGTACCTGGTTATTAACGTAATGTAGATAATAAAAATGTGGCTCGTAATGTAATAGAAACAATTGAAAAAATAGAAAATTCGGAAATTGTTCCGATTGTTTGCAATGCGTGCGTGGAGAGAAATTATTGT